AGAGAGAGAGAGAGAGAGAGAGAGAGAGAGAGAGAGAGAGAGAGAGAGAGAGAGCACCTGGGCCATGAGCCCAGAAAACCATACCCTAACCTCTTGGTCCCACCTGTTGATGACAATTGGTTAACAAAGCTTTCTCATCAAATGGTGACCTGGCTACGTGGTATGCTGGAGAACAATGGCACAAAAGTTGTGGGAGGCTCCAAGTCCACTATCTGATCGCATTTAAGGCCCTCTCCAAGAGATGGCATCAAGTCCACTCTCTGATTGCATTAAGGTCCACTCCATTCAAGTCCACTCTCTGATCGCATTGAAGACCCTCTCCATCCAAGCCCTATCTGATCTTATTTAAGGCCCACTCCATGATGTGGAACCCATGGCCGCCACTGCTTGCATGGCCAAGAATCTGAGACTAGTTAATCATACACATGGAGGATAACCAAATGCTACTGTCATGCTACATGAACGTAGCAGTAGAATGACTCCGAATGACATTCTGTTACGTCCGTGATCAGTATGTTACTCATCTATCATCAGAGACACTTCCTCCTGCAAATACAGAGACTCAGAACTGGAAAATGTGCTTAAAGTGAGAAACATTGCATACTCCATTCTAAATGGTCAAACCCTTCCCCTCAGAGCTCAGGGAGCTAAGCAGAAGAGGAAATGGAAGGACTGTAAGAGTCAGGAGGGATGAAGACACCAAACAAACAGTTTCTTTCAGACACAGCAGGACTGATGTACATATGAACCCACAGAGACTGTGGCAGCGTGCACGGGTTTGCACAGGTACAAGTGAGATGGGGTCTCAGTGCTGAGAGGGGAAGTAGACATGAACCCCCATTCCGAACCTAGACGCTGTCACCACCGACAACTGCTCACAAAGGACACAATTAGTTTTCTCCAATGGTGTTTCACTGGGTATACAAACCATACTTAAGGGAGGCCCTATGTCTATCAGCAGATGACTAAAACAAACAAATTCATTTCAAAGGTAGTTTTGGAGATTTTTTTTTTTGCCTCATATGATTTGGGTGGTTGGTTTTTTGTTGTTGTTGTTTCTTTTCTTTTTTTTTACCGTACTGATCCTTTGTTGTGGACTATTTAACTAGGCAAAGATGTGCTACTTTTCTTCATGCTGCATCTGTTCCATTGTGCACAGATGTGTCGCGCTTGTGTCACCTAAGGCACCTGATTGGTCTAATAAAAAGCCGAATGACCAATAGGCAGGAAAAGGATAGGTGGGGATGCCAGGCAGAGAGAATGAATAGGTAGAGAAATCCAGACTTAAGAAGAACCAGAGGAATGAGAGAGAAGGAGGAGGAGAGCACGAGGGAGACACCCAGAGTAAGGAACCC